CGCATTCAATACACCCTTCCACCAAAGCTTCAAGACCTCCAATCGCAGTTGTCATGAATTTCTCCACCTCTATCAATGCCTTGGGAATCTTGACTTAGACATGTTTCATGACATCGACAAGAAAGTGAAGCATCGCGATGCGCCCTCTTAAGGCCGTGTTGGCTGATAATATGAGCGCGCGCGACTGAAGCCTTTTCGATCAAGATATCCAGGGCGAAATACGCCAATCCATATAGATCTCCGACAAGGAAGACCGAAACTCGTCAGCGGCTAGATCCAAGAGGTTGACATCCAGCAGAAAGACGACTTGACGGAAAAGAGGCTAAGGGATAAATCTATTTCTCCGACAAGTATTTTCAGATGGATAGAGTATAATACAAATTTGATATTTGCTATTATTATTTTCGGCCAATAATCATATGCTAAGGGCATTTCTAACCAAACCCCTAAAAGTTAAGGGAGTATCTCACAGAGTAAAGTTAGTGGAAGAAAACTTTACTCCACTAAGGGTGGCCGCACCTAACCGATCCCCTATACTTGGTGGAGTAAAAGCAAAATTGTGTAGATTTTGTGTCCTAGCCACATGAACTTCAAACGTTCACAATATATATCTTAAAGCATTCAAATTAAAACATGCATAGCATAACCTTCATAACATAAAGTTTCATCGTCGTGTTTTTCAAATTAAAACATGCAAAATTCATTGAAAAAGACATCACTTCAAACACAATGTTTGATCCAAAATCATCACAAACATAGCATTTAAATCATCACCACCATCCTCTTTGTGATTGTAGTTGGCGGTGCGTGACCTTGACCGCTGGATGCTAAGAACTCGGTCGTGTTCATCTCCGCACTATGACAATGAAACAAAGAAACTACATCACCAACGACTACAAAGAATCACCGATTGGCTACAAACAATCACCATGGCCGAGAAATTTATTTTTACCTTGTAGGCATTTCGTCGAGCACTTGGGCGGCCGCGATGCTTGTTGCCGGCTGCGGCCGCCGCCCGCGCTGGAGCAATGGCCATAGGGGGCGCCGGAGTAGCTGCATGAGGCGTCGGTCACGGACAAGGCGTCGTTATGTCCTTCTTCATCTTCTTCTTCGCGGCCGCCTCAGCGAGCGCCGCCGCCGCCGCCGTTGGCTTTCGAGCTCGTTTAGCTCCGGCGGGAGCGGCGGGAAGGCGGTGGGCCATTGCTGGAGAGGCAGTGGCCACCCCGGAGGCCATTGTGGCGATTGGAGGAGGAGCTTGAACTCGGTGTGTTTTTTTCATTCCCAGCCTTTTCTTCCGCACGGGCAGCGGCGTGTGGGTGATTTTCGACGGTGAAAACCGGCAGGGTGAGGAAAGGGTCTGGGCTATCCATTCCAGCCGGATGTGGAGGACAACTTTTACTCCACTATACATTATCGAATTTATCCTCCTTCACGGTCTTATTGTGGATTCGGTTAGAAACGCGCTAAGTGACGTGCACTTTTGGGGGCGAAGACTACGTTTGGCAGCATAGTATTCGGAGAATACGTTTATCACTAAGAGTGAGCAAAAGTGGTGAGTACATGAATTACTGATCGGCCAAAATAAATTAAATAAAGTAAACGTCGTCTGTTCCAAGGAGAAGCGGGCAGATCACCTTTGGGTTCACGCATCTTCAACGGAGACGAGCGCCTGCACCACCGCGCTCATGCTCGGCCGCCTGTTCCTCTCCTCCTCCAAGCACGACAAGGCAACACCAACCACCACCTTCACCTGCGCGCGGTTAAAGTCGCCGGCGAGCCGGTCATCCACAAGATCTTCCATGCTGCCGGAATGCACCTTCTCGGCCACAGTCTTGGCCACGGCCCTAACATCCGTATTCTGGTCGCCGTCCGCCACCCTGACCCCTTTTACCAGCTCCAGCAGCACCACGCCGAAGCTGTACACGTCGACCTTGTCGCTGATGGCCAGGCTCGACACCCATTCCGGCGCCATGTAACCCCTCGTCCCCCTGATCCGCCCCGACGGGTTCGCCTCCCGCCCTGCGCGAGAGGCGGACCCCTCGGGGCGGCGGTCCAGCAGCTTGGCGAGCCCGAAGTCGGTGATCTTGGGCTCCAGATCACGGTCCAGCAATATGTTCTCCGGTTTCATGTCGCAGTGGATGATCCACTCGAGGCACTCGCTGTGCAGATAGGCGAGGCCCCTCGCCACGCCGACGGCGATCCGGAACCGCTGGCTCCACCCGAGGACCTCGTGGTCGCCACCGTCGCCGTCTTCGTCCAACAACAACATCGTGGCGAGCGAGCCGTTCTCGATGAACTCGGAGACGAGGATGCGGTGCTTGCCCTGGGAGCAGCAGCCGATGATCCTCACCAGGTTCATGTGGTAGATCCTGCCGATCACGCTCAGCTCCGCCTGGAACTCCTCCTCCCCGTGGGAGCGGCTCACGCTCGTCGTAAGCGCCTTGACGGCCACGACCCGGCCGTCGTCGAGAACGCCCCTGTACACCACTCCAGACCCGCCGCGGCCGATCTCGTCGGCGAAGTTCCCCGTGGCCTTCTTGATCGCCGCGTAGCTGTACCTCTGAAAACTCGTGGTGAGGAGGATGAGTCTGTAGCCTTCGTCCATGGGGTACACCGGAGAGGACCGCGTGAACAGTCCCCTCCTGGAGAAGAGCAGGCAGCCGAGCCCGATGACAACGGCTTCCACGACGAGCAGCGCCGACAGGAACCCGTACAGGTACGGCCACACCGGTTTTCCCGCGGCGTCAAGGACGTGCTTGCGTGACAAGGCGGTGGCGTTGAGGAGGACCTCTTGAGCGGCGCGGTCGCCGCAGCCGGTGATGTTCTCCTCAAGGATGGCAAGGCCGCCGTGTACGTGCGTTTGCCATTGGTGGACGTGGAACTCCGGGACGACGAAGTCTACCGGGACCTTGATGTACACCGTCCCCGGCAAGCCGGGGAACGTCCTGCCGTTGAAGAGGACGCTTTTGAGGTAGCACTCCATGTTGGCCTTGTGCTGGAACGCGACGCATGCGCAGCTGGTGCGGCACCTCCTGGCGCACTTCGCCAACGGCATGATCTCGCCGTCGTTGAGGTCGTAGCCCCAGAAGTCGGAGTGCGGCAGTGCCATCAGCTTCGTCGGCGTCCGCGTCGGCTTCCCGCACTGGTGCTGCCGGAAAGTCGGCCGGCACCCTCTGGTCCAGTCGCCGGGGTCGGTCCGCTCGTGCCCCGGCGCGCAGGCGCACGAAGGCGCCGGCGCGTAGAGGCACACCGCGTTGGCGCCGCACACGCCGTGGATGGTGCAGGGGTTGCGGAACGCCATCCACGACACCGCCCACGTCCCCGTCGCCGCGTCCAGGCTGTACGCCCTGAGGTTGCCGTCCGCGTCGAGCGTGAGCCTCCTCCGGACACCGGCGGTGGCGAGGTCGGCCGCCTGGAAGTTGGCGTTGTCGCTGGAGAGGAAGTTGCCGAGCGCGTCCATGGCGGCCTCGCGGGTGAAGTTGTAGATCCTGCGGTTGTTGGCGACGTAGTTGTTGTAGGGGTTGGGCCAGTAGATGCTGGAGAAGTTGCCGTTGTCGTAGAAGAGGGAGAGCATGGCGTAGTCGCTGAACCCGAGGCTGTAGTAGCCGGAGGAGAGCAGCCTGCCGTCGCGCGAGGAAACCAGGCGAGTCGTCGCGGTGAGACGCTGCGTCGGCAGCAGCGTGTCCGTGGGGAAGTGGAAGCTCTGCCACAGCGCTCTCCCGTCGGCGTCCACCACGACGAGGTTGCCGGTGTCGCGGAGCCGGGCGCGCGAGGCCGTCGGGGCGCCGGCCACGGTGGAGTTCCACACCGGCTCGCCGTCGTAGTCAGTGAGGATGAGCGCGCCGCCGCGCTTATCTAGCGTGAGGCGCGAGCCCTTGCTGTGGACAGGACGCGTGCGGTCGGCGGTCCAGACGACGGAGCGTTCCTTGGCGCGCGTGAACCAGACGGAGAAGGTGAAAACGGTGGGGGAGACGCGGTAGAAGCCGCAGGCGAAGGTGCCGCCCGGCGAGCGCAGGAAGTCGGTGGCATAGTCCTCGACGGCGATGGAGGCGCCCCGGGTGAGGCTCTCGCGCGCCGCCGCGACGGCTGGCGGGCAGGGGAGCAACAAGCTCAAACCACAGACAGTGATCAAAAGCCCCAGGACGAAGGGTCTCATCGATCGTAGCATCACTGGAATGTTGTTGATTTGGACAGGTCAGTGAATATCACTGTTCATATGTAGTAGAGGAATCAGGTCAAGTCAACAGGTTTATTTTATGCATCAACGGCGATCCAGGAAGATGAGATGGAATTTCTTGGGAGGTAATTAAGCATCGTGTAATAAACTAGTGCTCACTGGAGGTTCCGTTGCTGTGATCTGATTATTGTATAAGCATCACGAGGAGTTTAGTCGGTCGGTTTGGTTGAATCTGACTGGAACTCTGATGCTTGAGCTCAAAGAAAGCTGACGAGCAAAGATTGGCTTTTCACACCACTTGTCCAGTTGTCCTGTCCATGGTTCTGCGGCAACAGTGTACTATAATGCACTGGTGGTTATATAAGCAAAAGTTAATCTCAGTCAGCTCTTGGTTTGATGATCTGTAGCGCTGACTCTCTAGACAAAATGGTCTAGATAATCTCACTGTATGGACACCATACAATATACACAAGGTGGTGCCTTGCGGGCTCGGCACATCAGCCAATGGAAAAGCTGCACGCAATTTCAGTTCTGGGACACCTTGCAAAACCGCGGTGAGTCAATGGATCGTCATCAGTAGAGAATAGCTGGCATATACTTCGCAATCAGTTGACCAATCAACACAGTGTAATGCAATGGTAACCACCTCAGGCATCTTTGCTTAATCATCATCTACTAGTAAATTAATTACGCTACAGTACAATGTCGACACAACCCGGAGGCAAACACTTGCTTTCTTTACTTACTTTTCTCTAAAATAAGTATGATTTCGTTTACTTTGTATGTGTGTGTGCGTGCGCACGAGCACAGGCGTCTGGTATGCTTACTGTGTAGTCACACTCTTGGCCAGATTCCTTGGCTGGTCGACATCGAATCCACGGAGAACAGTAAGGTGGTATGCGAGCAACTGAATCAAGAAAAGGAAATGAAGCTCGTCGGTAAATAAAATCAAGATAGTAGCACAAAGGACAACAGAGGTTTTGGGATATGATTGGCACCAAACCTGCAACGGAATTATGTTGATCACTGGCTGTAGACAATCAGCGACCTCTGGAACTTGAATTACCCTGCAGGATGCACTAGGACCAACGGCGGAGATGTCACCTTCGGAGCACATTATGATCAGACGCCCCTTGCGAGAAAGGAGCTGCTGAATCACCGACTTCTGCTTGCTGCAAGAGGAGGATGAGAAGGAGATCAGTACCAAGATGATCACCAAAAATAGATCTACCTCTGTGAAAGCACTTACCTGAAGCACGAGTCGCGTGTCGCGATGACGATGATGGGAAGATTTTCATCCACCAGTGCTAGTGGCCCGTGCTTCATCTCGCCAGCAAGCATGCCTTCGCTGTGCATCAGTGCGACCTCCTTCACTTTGAGAGCACCCTCTAAGGCAGTGGCATAGTTATAACCTCTTCCAAACACAAGGAGTGACTCTGAGTCGATTAGTGAAGATGCGAGATCCTTCATTTCAGCATCTTCACTGACATGGCCTGCATCGTAAAATAATACTTCACACATTGTTTCAAATCGTGATTGTGAAACGACACTTTGTTTGACTACATGGTAGGTCGTTGATCCAATTTTTCATACTTGGAAGACTTGAAAGACCAGTGATTATAGACTCCCTTCTAGGTTGAGTGGATAACTGATCAGATCCAATAGCCAAGGCTATCATCGCCATGACTACTATTTGACTTGTATAAGCCTGCAAGATTGCCAGATACTGTTATGTTAGGAAGAAATGCCTGAATTTTGGTAAAGTACTGCAAGGTGAACATGTACTGAAACCTGCCTTGGTGCTGGCAACACCAATCTCGCAACCAGCATTGATATGAATTCCACAATGTGTTTTTCTTGACAGTGTGCTCCCCACTGTATTTGTAACACCAACACAAAGTGCTCCCTTTTCTAGTGCATACTCAAGAGCTAGGAGGGTGTCTGCTGTCTCCCCTGACTGGCTCACAAAAACTGCAGTGTCCTCTCTGTAGATGGGGCCTTGTCTGTCCAGCAAGTCACTTGCAACCTCCATTGTCACAGGAATACCTACGGTGCAAGGAGTACTAGCTAAATAATTATTGCACTAGTGATATAAAAAAACATATCATGAGAAACAATTGGACAAACCGATTAGACTTACCGGTAAGTTCTTCTACAAAAGGCCGTGCAGCTAAGGCAGCGTTATAACTAGTACCACAGCCAATAAAGATTACTCTTCTACTGCGTCTAAGTGTTTTGAGGTGTTCCTTTAGTCCGCCTAAAACAACTCCACTATCCTTTAGTCTACCTCTCATTGTTGTTGTCAGTGAATGTGGCTGTTCATGGATTTCTTTTTGCATGAAGTGGTCATAGCTTCCTTTCTTTATTTGCTCGACTTCCATCTCCAGAACAGACAATGCTCGTTGCACAGATGCTGGCTTCTCTTTTTCCTTGTCAAACTTAAGGATAGACACACTACCATCCTGCAGTGTCCACATTGTTACAACTTGGGTAAGATGTCAAGTATAACACTTGTGGAAAAAACAACAGAATTGCTGCACATAGTGTGTTTTCGTCATCCCTTTTCCAGTAAAGGGAAGAAGCGCAGTAAGAAAATACAGTTGATGTCTAGCTAGCTGTACAGTTTTCGGTTTCGTTTTCCCCTTAACTTTTTTGGCTTTGTTGTTTCTTCTTTGTTGAGGGCAGGCCTGGCGCAGTGGTGAAGTCCTCCCCACTTGTGCCAAGAGGTCCTGGGTTCGAACCAACCTCTCTGCATTGCACTTTGCAGGGGTAAGACTAGGTTCCTATAATCCCTCCCCAGACCCCACCTTGTGTGGGAGCTTCTATGCACTGGGTCTGTCCTTTTGTTTCTTCTTTGTTTTGGCTAGCCTAGGGTGCTTTCGGATTTTTTTAGTTCCTTCGGATGTGTAACTCTTGTGCCATCTTAAGGCTTCCTTCTAATGCAAAATGGCCGCATTTGGGTGCGTGTCCGAGAAATAAAAATGAATTACCATAGACTAAGGCAGTGAATTATCAATTATATTTCTCAGGCGTGATAGTTGGCATGTGTCGCAAAAAAGTGTGGCAAATGTAGGCAAACTTAGTATATGAACCAGATATGCCCTAAACAGCATGCAAATAAAAATAGCACCGATGAACAGTAATAAACTAAGGCCCAGATAAGATGGATACTGCAGAGCATGCTGATTAGAAATAAAGGTGGACAAAATAAAACAGAAACACATGCAGACTAACAGATGAAGCAATTAAGTAATGAGCAAAGAAGTACCTTAATATGAATAATTTCATTGTCTTCAATAGCCAAATAATTCTTGGTGTGCTCTACAATAGCACATAAATCACTGGAGAAGAAGAACTCCCTGGGGTTTCCATTTGTTGTCAGGGATTTGACATTCTGAAATGACTTCGCGCTGTTTTGATCACTTACTTCCTAATTATACAGAGATAACAGGCATGATTTGTGTAACTATAAAATAAAGAGTTCAGCACAAGATTAGGGGCATTATGTGATCCATAAGACTGCAAAATAACCAATAACAGATAGGCATATCATTGCGAAAACGATTAGGCGATGAGACTGATTACTTGTATGCCATAACCAAACTCTCTAGAAGTTCAATCTGCTACCAATTAGTATCTACTGCTCAGAAAATACTGGATCATGTGGAACAAAAGAGTCACTACATCGAGTATTTGACTGCAGACCTATGACGAGTTTGAGCTAAAACAACAATTATAGGTCATGTGCCATGAAAAAGGTAAAATTGAATATTGTGTCAGTAATGTACAGCTCTACTTAGCAGGTGGCGACAAGCATGGTACAGATACAAAAAAAGTAGCATCGCATCATTACATGAAATGTCCACTTATACTGCACATCTTAGAAAGCTTATTAACCTTTAATAACAAACATCATTGGCCAGAGCACAGCATATACTCTTGCACAAAACAGAAACCCAGTTTGTTGTTGGAATGAAGCAAGTGGAACCAAATGAAAATATCAAAAATGGACATTTAAGTTAATTTTGCACTTAGATTTCAACATTATGTTTGCTTTAGTTGAATATATCTAATAGTTAAAAGTAAATATATAAGGATGTTGTTTGCTTACATTGACACCAAGTATCAGCGTGCTGCCTCGTTTGCATGCAATCAGCTCATTGGGATAGTGTGGACTTTTAAAGATAAGTGCATAGGCTCCTTCAAGCTGCCTCATGACTTCCATAACAACTTGGCTAAATGTCATATCACCTGAGAAAATAAACAAAATCTCAAAACAGCCTTAACTAGAACTAACACAGAGCTCAGTCAACAATGATTTATTCTGTAATACTATGATAAGTGCTCTTGCACTAAAGTACGTCCCCTGCCACGTTCAGGGCAATGTATTGCCAAAATAGTTTCCTGGTGACCACCAATAGTATAACAGGTGTATACGTTATTTCCAAATTTGCTTCCTATGTGGCAGCACAGTATACTTCTCCAAAGGAACTATGGAAAAAATGATCCAGATAAAGAACAAGCGGTTTATCTTGTCACAATTTGCTACGACAACAATATTACATCTTATAGAGCATAATACCTTCGCCATCACAAGCCTGGTCAAAAACAAACTTTGCTTGCTTAGGGATGACTTCTGTGTCGGTATCAGACTCAAAGGTGAACCCGTGTCGAATCAGTGTCTCTTTCAGAATCTGGACAGATACACCAAATGTCAAGTTAGAATAGAAATTATCACGTGTTACCATATGATGCCACATTGAGTCGTGCTTGAACCATAGGTCTTTGATAAGCATATTATCATGTTTTAATGTCTCACATTATGTATTGCAATTCCACCAAAAGCTTTTGCAATATGGCGCAAACAACCCCACCAAGGAGATTCTTTGAAACAACAAGATTAATTCTCTTGAAAATGCACATGCAAAGGAAGATAAGGAGAGGTCCATTTGGAGGGATCAGAACATGAGACTTTAGCACAAGGAGCGACTTATTATAGTCTCCACTGGCATAAGTTCATAGCTGCATGTGCATTCTACAACTGCGAAGATAACAAGGTTCAAATACTACACAAAAGAATTCTATATGCAATATCACAGAACAGAGTAAGCAGACCTCATAGTTTGTGATAATTCCATTGTGGACGACCAAGAACTCATCACCGGCCCCAGAGGATTGGCGGTGGCTGTTCTTTGGGGCAGGCACGCCGTGCGTAGCCCACCTGGTGTGAGCAATTCCAGCGTGAATGGGAAATGTGGCGTCTAGGTTCACACCCTTCTCATCAACCTCTAGAAGTCAGACGCCAAACAACCTTAAAAGTTAGACTAATTGGGTAAGTTTTAACTTCTCTTAAAAAAACCACCAAGGCAAATGGGGAAAATGCATACAGTAAAATTATTTGGAAACAACAGAAGCAAGGAATTTAAGGGACGAATTGCATAAAGAGTTGACGAGCGGTATGGCCTGATAAACCCCTATACTTCATCCAACCGGTTTAATCTCATTTGGAACTACGAGGCTCCAGAATTATGCAGTTTGGGATTTTAATATCAGCCCCCAAAATGGGTACACGACATCCACGATCCTTCATTTTTCTCCCAAATACTCACCGGAGTAGACGGATCGCACGAGGTTATCGATCTTTCCCTCCTGGCGGAACACAAGTGGCGGCGCCCCCGCGTACGCCGCCGCGGAACCAGGCGGCGGGAGGTCCGTGTCGAGGGCTATGCCGGAGGAGTCGTAGCCTCGGTACTCCAGGCGGCGGAGGCCGTTGAGGAGGACCTCGAGGACATACCGTCGATCCCGCGGCGCACAGTAGTTGAGGTAGGCGAAGATCCCGCACATGGCGGGCGGCGGGTCTTCTAGAAGCTTCTGGAAGGCCGCGTGCTTGCGCGGGCGAAGACGATGTTCGAGGTGGAGGATACAGTAGAAGGCGGCGTATTTTAGGTGGGAGCACAATGTACGTCTTTTCTTGTCGAATACGTGTTTGTCGACTCGACTATACGAGCAAACTTAAGTTACTCTGTAACCATATCAAAAAATGTGCACAGGATTATCAAAGGCTTCCTATGTAGCCAACTAATCACATCCAGCAATCCGAATCACATAAGAGTTTGCCACACAAACCAATGTGTCAGACTAAATATTA